TGAAATCTCCTGCAAGTAAAACATGCGCCTTAGGGGTCTTATCTATACAATAGCTTAAAAGGAAATGGAGACGTTCAAAAAACACATCAAAAGCAGCTTTGGTATAAACAGTTGGTCTGTAGACACACAGTACAATAAGATCTATGGGTTTAACTATTTGGACCCCACAACATTCAAAACTTGACTCAATCGTTAATTCTTCAAAATCAGGCCTATGTTTAATTTTAAAATGATCATTTACAAGAATGGATACTCCCCCTCTTTTCTGATTTTCCCTGCAGTAAGATGCAGCGTTTTGATATCCATCAAATTGAAATAGTGGAATTTTACAATTAGATGGGACCCAGTGTTCCGAAAAGCAAACTACATCCGGTTTTCTGTTGAAACTATTGAGGTATAAATTAATTTCATCAATTTTATTGTTTTGGATGATGCCCTGGATGTTACAATGAAATATTGCAAATGATCTGTTTCCCAAAGACTTATAGGTGTCATCAGAGCAACTGTTCATGTGTCTGTCGCTGGAGGTTGAGTTGACTCCAAAAAACTATTGATATGTTTTAAATTAGTTCTAACAGGTGTAGAGAAACCTAGAAATTTATCATTTGCATTTCCTACACAACTATCATTTCTAAATGGAATTACAAAACCATCACTAATGCTATCTTGTTGAGGCCGGCTAACATTCACTGCACTATTCCCCTTATTGACTTTATAACCCCCCGCTTCACACACTGCTGGACACTTAGGAGATCGTGTTGACTCTGCTTGGCTGTGCTCTACAACTGACTTGACTCCATCACTTTCACATGGACGCTGTTGGGAAGATTTCAGTGCAGACTCCCTGTCTAGTTTTTAAAAAACTAATAAACACGTAACACGAACATTGAACACTGACGTTTAACATTTAAAAACACACAAAGTTACTGAGAAGGTTAGCGACGCGTACCGGCCGGATGTAAAGTCTAGACGATGATTCTAGTGATGATGAGTCTAGATGATTATTCCTTATCGGGATAGCTTATATTTATTGTAAGGGTTGGCGCTTGCCTTTTTTGGTATACTTTCAATAATCATTTAGGCTATCAAGAAAGAACGACAGAGGTTCGTGAGATTATTAGCATAAAAGTTTTCCATAATTGGGTAGAAAATTGTGTGTAACAAGCCCAAATGACACCTGTCTGTTTTCCCCAATTGTTATTTTAAATTGTCCCTCAGTCTCCTCGACTCCCCTTACCTCACGTCGCCTTCCGCTATCCTACTTCGCCCTCTAGAACCTTCCCCGACCTTCCCCTTCCCTTACGTTGCCTTCCGCTACCCTACATCGCCTTCCAAACCCTTGTCCGACCTTCCCCTTACCTTACGTCGCCTTCCGCTATCCTACGTCGCCCTCTAGAACCTTCCCCGACCTTCCCTTCCCTTACGTTGCCTTCCGCTACCCTATGTCCCCTTCCAAACCCTTCCCTGACCTTCCCCTTCCCTTATGTTGCCTTCCGCTACCCTACGTCGCCTTCCAAACCCTTGTCTGAACTTCCCCTTACCTTACGTCGCCTTCCGCTATCCCACGTCACCCTCTAGTGCCTTCTCCGACCTTCCCCTTACCTTGCGTCGCCTTCCGCTACCCTACGTCCCCTTCCAGACCCTTACCCGACCTTCCCCTTACCTTGTGTCGCCTTCCGCTACCCTACGTCGCCTTTCAGACCCTTACCCGACCTTCCCCTTACCTTACGTTGCCTTCCGCTATCCTATGTCGCCCTCTAGAGACTTCCCCGACCTTCCCCTTACCTTACGTCACCCTCTAGAGCCTTCTCCGACCTTCCCCTTACCTTGCGTCACCTTCCGCTACCCTACAAAGCCTTCCAAAACCTTATCCGAACTTCCCCTTACCTTGCGTTGTCTTCCTCTTATCTACGTCACCCTAAAGTCCTATCCAACTTTCCTTTCCTTGCGTCACCCTTTGTCATCTCACGTTACCTAATTCAACCTGTTCTAGCCTGTTCAATCTTAAATTCGCCCCGAAACCACAACCCTAACCTCAAATTTATCCAGAAAACCAAATCCCTATTTAAAGATAGTCCGATCTTTTCTTCCCAAAATCGGAACCCCAACTGACCATTTCACGCCTTCTGCGCATGCGCCAATGGCCGCGTATAAATACAAGGCACACACCGGAGCAGAAGTCAGTTCATAGCCGGCCGGCTCTCCTACGAGACGGACACCTCGAAGCTTCTGGCTGGTTAGTATTCGACTTGATCCTTCTAGAGCAATCTTAGCACACGACCCGATCCTTCTAGAGAAATCTTAGCACTCGACCCGTTCCTGCTAGAGAAATCTTAGCACACGACCCGATCCTGCAAGAGAAATCTTAGCACTTGACCCGTTCCTGCTAGAGAAATCTTAGCACACGACCCGTTCCCGCTGGAGAAATCTTAGCACTTGACCCGTTCCTGCTAGAGAGATCTTAGCACTCTACCTGTTCCTGCAAGACAGAGAGATCTTAGCACTCAACCTGTTCCTGCTAGATAAATCTTAGCACTCGACCCATTCCTGCTAGAGAAATCTTAGCACACGACCTGATCCTGCTAGAGAGATATAACACTCAACCCGTTCCTGCTAGAGAAATCTCAGCACTCGACCCGCTCCTGCTAGAGAAATCTTAGCACACGTCCTGATCCTGCTAGAGAAATCTTAGCACATGACCCATTCCTGCTAGAGAGATCTTAGCACTGGACCCGTTCCTGCTAGAGAGATCTTAGCACTAGACCCGTTCCTGCTAGAGAGATATAACACTCAACCCGTTCCTGCTAGAGAAATCTTAGCACTCGACCCGTTCCTGCTAGAGAAATCTTAGCACTCGACCCATTCCTGCTAGAGTAATCTTAGCATAATAATAGATCCTGTTAGTTGGAAGTTTAGCACTAATTCAGACATCCTACTAGTTCCTTATCCACAACTTTCTCTTTGTGGCTGTGATGACAGAGGCTGTTAGAAAACAAATAAATTTGTGTGCCACGAATCTGAGCCATTCCTTTGCTTTCCGTTGTTTCCACCCCTGAAACAGATACCCAGCAAGCACTGAGCTACCCCGGACCTCACTTGAGAGAAAGAACGTTACATGTGTCATACAATAAAAGCCATGCAAGTCTAGAGGAGTACATTGAGAGTGTGAGCTGTGTTCAAGTTTTGGCATAGACTAACCACGGAGTGTGTTTAACTTGTTCGCTACCGAGCGACGCACATTTGCGTCGCTCCGGTCACTCCTACAGACTAAAAGGAATGATCATGACGTTCCTTACAGACCAAGTGATATAGGAATAACATTGCCGACAGACCAAAAGAGAAATATCGTTTAAATGGACTAATTGACTTCATAATAACCTTAAGTGAATTAGTAAGCAATAAATATTGTTTTTATTTTTCGTTATGAGCAAATTTTAAAACGCCGCATATATGCGTCGGTCAGTCTATTTAATGAAATCCAGTTAAAAAGATTACATTTTGTTTCAATAGACCAGGCGACGCACGTAAGCGTCGTCGTAAATTTGGTTGTTTCAAGCTTTTACACAAAAAAATAAAGAAACTCCACTAAACACTAGCCAAAACTGCAAAGGTTATAACGTTTACATCTGTTCTGTGATGTCGCGGAATACACAATGTAAAAAACAATGTTGCCAACTGTTGTGTGACGTAACCAATCGTCATATCCACAGACCAAGCGACGCACATTTGCGGCAGATATCCCTCTAGACCGATACGATAAAATCCGGGCTTTAAAATAAACCGTTGCTAAGAAATACGCTGTTTAATAACATTAGAACACCGACGCAAATGTGCGTCGTTAGTCTATTTCAATGTGACCAGCTGACGCAAATATGCGTCGGTGGTCTATTGTGAGAAACTAGTCGACGCACAATTGCGTCACTGGTCTATGCGAACGTAAATTCCATATAATTGTGGTAGCGAACGTGTTAATCTATAGTTTTGGTGAAGTAGGTGAATTAATGGCAATTCAGGTATTTAAAAAAGATAGGATGTGGTTCCGCAAATTTTCAACATTTGTGACCAAATCACTTTTTTGGCAAGAGAAGGAATCAAAATTGGTTAGACCCCCATCGAAGTAAGAATGTTACTGCTTTCTGGAGAATCAGATATTTTTATCAAATACAAAAAAACTGATTTAATATGCCTCCTGCTGAAAAAATTCTGTATTTTTATGACCAAAGATGGTGATTCACTTATACTTCTAAATACGATCTGAATGATTTTCCTAAAGCAGATGGAACTAGTTATTAGTAATAGCCTATTGACTCTTTCTATCAGATGACAGACCAATTATATGAACTCTTTTCCCCATCTAGTGAAAGAGGCTTTAACATGAACAAGAAACAATATTGTAAGACTCCTAAAAAACTTGTTGGGCAACTAAAGCCGATGAAAGGACAGAAAATATTTTATTCAACGAATTCATCAACCACGTTTTTAAGGTAAACAATCGTCATACTCATAATTATGTTTATCTTCCCTTCATTTAACTAAGATTTTAATAACTTCACTCTATCTATTGCAGTTAGCTGAATTTACTTAAAAACTCAAGAGTTGATTTCCATGGGTTTCACCTAGTATTAATAATTTGTAAACTTCCCTTGAGAAATTGATTGAATAAATGGGTGTGAAATCATTGTGAATATTTTCCAATACGATGTTTTAAGATCTGAAATTTGATCCCATCTTCAGGTCAAAAAGTACCTAAACATAACAAGATTATAACACAAACCCAGCCAATGATTTTCTAGCTTTGGCTGGGTAGGATTACTAATCTTGTTATGTTTAGGTACTTTCTCACCAGATTCCGGGTCCCGAATCATCGTGAATTTTTGTTTTTAATAATCGTGATGGTTAGTGTCCTCAATAATCTCATAAATAATATCAGGTAAGTTTCATTTAAAGAGTACCACTACCCAAATACGTATGCAAGAAGCAGAGAAGTTGAGGCTACATACCGGACCATTCAACACTATGATGGGAGGGTCGGGTAGACTGTAGGTTGTCGGAGGCTGCAGATAGCTTGTCATGACAGTAGGTACAGCATGGCTTGTCATAACAGTAGGTACAGCATGGCTTGTCATAGCAGGAGGTACAGCATGGCTTGTCATAGCAGGAGGTACAGCATGGCTTGTCATAACAGAAGGTACAGCATGGCTTGTCATAGCAGGAGGTACAGCATGGCTTGTCATAGCAGGAGGTACAGCATGGCTTGTCATAGCAGGAGGTATAGCATGGCTTGTCATAGCAGGAGGTACAGCATGGCTTGTCATAACAGAAGGTACAGCATGGCTTGTCATAGCAGGAGGTACAGCATGGCTTGTCAGAGCAGTAGGTACAGCATAGTCTGTCATTACAGTAGAGACAGCAGTGGAGGTGGATACAGTGTTGCTACTTGAAGGTGCTGAACTGGTAGATGTTGCCACTGAGGCTATGGGAGTGATCCCCATTCCAGTGATGGCTGCGATTGCTGACTCATTGTCCATGTCCAGTTGTGATAGATCTGAAGAAACACAAAATATAGATACTATTACTACAGGAAGCTAATGGTATTCAGAAAAGAAATTAACAGTAGGTATACTCACAACTGACTATTTTAAAATTCCTGTATGATTACCAGTACCACCTAGGGTATCCATGGCCATGTAAGTAACAGTATGATTGCCATATTTTCACCAGTCAAATATCAATTAGGTAATTATAATTATTATAATTTTAACAATTAGAGGTAAGGAAATAATAACGCATCAATAAGCTATTACAGGATATCCACTTAAACCTAAAAAAAATAAATCTGCAGCTAATTCAAGATTTTTCACACAACATAGCCTATTATGATAATAATAATAGTGATACACAGTTAACCCTTTCAGTGCTATTAAACGATATATCGTTGTTTTAAAAAATCTCTAAGGGATATAGAGAAGAAGGTTATTTTAACAAAAAGAAGCAAAACGGCCATTGGTGACCTGCATGTTCATAGGATACACTATCAACCACTTAGCTAAAAGATTCGCCCAATCCGATGATTTCGAGGTGTATGTCTAAACCAAGGATTGTGAACACCTCACTATACCCCAGTGGTTGTAGTATATCGCTACAAACGCACAGGTCACCAATTATTTGCCACACAGGACGGGGATCGAACCCGAGCAGACGAATGCCACTGGCCAAGTGACACACGCCCTAGCCTTCTCGGCTATCTGTGCTTGAAGACTGAGGAGACAAAAACCGGTATTTAAGATGACACCACCGATTTCGAACAGATAGCGCTACAGATGGTTGTTCAATGCGTTACTAGGTAGCAGCAATAGTTAGTCACGGACTATTTAGTTGATATTTTCAGTTGAAACACAACAGTGATCATAATATTGTGTTCCTGAGATTTTGCTGCAAAACATTATTTTCCCTAAAATGGCTATATTATGATAACCTCGATATATATTATGATTTTAACGCGATGGCATAAATCTTATGATGCATCGTTGCAACTCAGTACATAATAATCACGATTTCACTGCAAATTCAAAGTCATTGAGTATCCAAGAATTGACGATGATACCGTCAATATGGAAAGTTTAGTGGAATCAAGGATCATAATTAGCCATCCTTAGTTTTTTTTTTCAGCATTTTTCTGTTCTGAAACAGCATGTTGCAGAAGCTTACTAAACTTTATATTGTTGTTCTTTAGGTGTTTCATACCAGTACAGTGTTTGGCAATTTTTTAAAGAAAAAGTTTGAGTGAGATTTTAAACAGTTCAGTTTTTTTTTTTTTTTACTGAACCAAGGTAAATTATTTTACATTTTATGTTTGTGCCAAAACTAATTGTATTTTGATAATACAAAATGCAAATTGTTACAACAGTATAAGGTGTTTTAATGGGTGTGTAATATATGTTTAGTGCTAGCAGAGTACCCGGCTTTTGTACGGGATTGGCAAATAAGTATCAAATGCTTATTGCAGTTATAGGAGAGGACACGGTTTAAGAAAATTTGGTTCTTTTAATTCATACAGAATGCTATAGTATAGCACATCTACCATAGGCATAATGTTCTACCAATGCACCTAAACCATAGAAAAAAGTAAAGTTCTCATTGTGTACCACAGCTTTTTGTTGCTAGTTGGTTCAAATTAGCTGTTGTCATAAATGCAAAAAAATAATAGTACTGCACCCTCTTGGTAAACCTTTTAAGTTTTAATGCTATAACCAACTTGTACAGTTAAAACAACTGACAAAATTCTTTAATTCCTTTTAAATATGAATACTCATAAGGTTAACATGTGCCCCTCGACCGGAGCCAGAAAGTATTTTTGAGATAAGAATATATCGATATGTTAATCGGGAATGTGAGCCATCATGGACGAGATTGGATTTTTAGTTCGAGACGAGACAAGGCGGGATTTTTTATATCTCATAAAATTTCGAGACAGGATTTTCCTTCTCATAAATAACTGTGATGGGCGTAAATTCAATAAACAAGATATTGAAAGGGGTCAGAGCTGCAAATGATTGCAATATGCTTTGAATGTTGACGGGGGAGCTAGTTCAAAAGTTGACGCTAGGTGGCAGCACAATATAGACAATGAGTCGTTTTGACTCACGTAGTCAACTTTGACTAGGGTAGTGGTAGGACAGCCAATCGGAGGTGATATCCGGGTTTCACGTGACTTCTGGACATGCTTCAGGTCCCTTCTTCTTCGGGGAATGAACGTTACTGACTACACGCTGTTTTTTATTGAAGCGTGTTACTATAGTTTATAGCAACGGTACTGGACTCATAAGGATCGTTAAGGCTCATATAATCAATCTAGTGTTGCTACCGATATTTCGAGTTGAATAATAAAGATCTAAAATTCATTACTGAGCCAAACCACATCCATATCACAGCCATTTTGATGATCTAATATTTCTAATGCATCTAATTAAATATAATAAGGAAAATAACACTGAAAACTTCCACGAGTGTGTTCAGAGTATAATTTACATATTAAGCTGAAATAAATTATAGTTCCCTAACCCCTTAATCCCCCCCCTTTACTGAAAAGTTAGAACATATTCTTAAATATCTTAGACTAAGGAAAACTTATCCATTCGGCGATTCCAGCCTATCCGCCGCACGACTCCGACACCCTCCCCGCGCTTCATATCCCCCCCCCCTAGTTATCCAGCGATCAGCTGATTTACCGTGACGCGTCTCCGCTGTGACGCGAGCATCACAACCTCCCCGACTTAAAAGAAAAAAAAAATTTTGTATGGTAGGAAGGTAAGGTTTTGGGTACAATCCCTGTGTTTGCGCGGGACTTGGGTACTTGTGACAGTGGTGGTGCCGCTTGATTTCGCGTTTCCCTTCGCGGCGCGTCACGGCGTGGCTCCCTGGTGCCCTGGGCAATCCAGTGGCAGGCCAGCGCGATGGTCACCACTGTATTTCTGAGGCTGAGGTGCTTTTCGCATGTTTGGTGTGTTGTTTCTTCCATATTAATTAACTATTAGTGCTTTGATAATGCGTGTCTGGTTGGTGGGAGAGAGAGAAAAAAATTATCTATCTTTAACTAAACTATTGAACTAGGGATGGACGAGATTGGATTTTTAGTTCGAGACGAGATTTTTTATTTCTCATAAAATTTCGAGACGAGATCGAGACGGGATTTCGCTTCTCATATACAACGGGAAATGCACGTTCGGAATTTTTACCTGATTTTGTAACATTGTTAGATGACTGTTTAAATACAAAAATAATGATAATAGGCAAGAATATTTACAATCTTTTATTAAAAAACATCAGCATAACATTTTTTTATTAATCACGCCTAACTTATTAAAAATGCCTACGATTAGGAAACATAGTGATATCAGTTAGGATAGAGTTCAACTTATCCTAAAATAAAATAAATCATAAAATAATATATTAATTTTTATAAAATAGTTACTTGTTTTGACTTTTTTATAGTAATAAAACATTCCTCACACTGCTAACACTTAGCAAAACTTCTCAAATGTTATTAAAATAATTAAAGTAATATTTACATTTATTTGAAGAATTAATTAAATAAGAACGCCTTCGCAAAGGAAACGCAACTACAACACGCTCCTGTATTGCGGGTATTGCATTGACTTTCTGCAGGCGTTTTTAATTTTTTTTTTTTAATTTTTTTTTTAATTCTCGTCTTGATAAAAATCTCGGCCAAAATTTAAAATTTCCCGAAATTTTGAGACTTGACCATCCCTATATTGAACTATTAATTGATCTGTTTTTTGTAGAATTTGCTTGAACTTGTTGATGGCCCTAACTTACACTAATTAAAACTAAGCTAAAGGTTTGGCGGGAGTATATCGGTAATATTTTTATTTATTTTTTTTTGTGTTTTTATTTATTTATTTTTTGTGCTGCTTCCATCTGATTTAGTATATTGTTGATCTTCTGCTGTGCCTGAAGTTGCAATTTGACGATCTTGCCATGACATTTGTTATTATATATTCCTTTTAGATGAAGTGTCCTTACTATATTCGGGGCTGATAATGAAGCTTTCCAATAAGAAGTTCTTCTTGGAGATCTGTTTGAAGTGAATTGATGCTATTGAGATGTATGGATGGTCAATGTAGATGTTGTACATTGTGGATGTGTGGCTATTGAAGAAGTGATGATCTTGGTGATGGTGATTCAATAATGCTGCGATGATTTCTATTAGTTGTATTGATGATGATGTTCTGATCAGATGTTGAGATTACTCAGTCGTATGACGAAGGTCTTCAGCTTCATTACTGTAGATGTTGATGACGAATGCAGTATTTTTTCATTTTGTTCAACTTGTTTCAATTGTGTTGTCTAATCTTGAATAATCATTTTATGTTGGTAGAGGTAAGGTTTGTAGAGAATTGTCATTTTTCTTCCTCTATATGTAGATTAGATTTCATTCTGTCGTTTATATATATATATATATATACAGGGTGCGGCAAAAGTCAGTATACCGAAAAAGCAGTTAAACTGTAGCTAGCATTAAACATAACTAATTTTAATGTACCTGTTAGAGAAGCTGCTCAAAGTGACCACCATCATTGTCTATACACTTGTAGCACCTTTTCAACACTGACTTACAGATTTTGTTGCATAGTTGTGGTGTGAATAAAACATAAAAATGTTTTGTTATTAATTCTTTTAAATGTTCTAAACTTTGAGGTTTCTCCGAAAACACGTGTTCTTTTAACAAACCCCACATACTGAAATCGCACGGAGTTAGGTCTGGGGACCTAGCAGGCCACTCAATAGTTCCTCTATGTCCTATCCATTCATCGAAGTTATCATTTAAAAATGCTCAAACATTTAGGCCATAGTGTGGAGGTGCTCCGTCTTGCTGCCAAATAATCGAACGACGACGCAACTGTTCAAAAGTGGGACTGTTTTCCAACTCTAAGAACACATCTAACATCCGTATAATCACGATCTAATTTCCACAAATTTTTCAAAAGAAAAACTCGTTGCTCTAAAGTTAGTTTACGATTCATGATTAAAAACACCAATAATACAATAACAATAACCAATAACCAGTTAATAATACAAGCACTACACTCACCAACTTAACTTCACTGTCACTAGTGGCATACCAACAAAACAAACATTCATCGATAAAGAATAAACAAAGACAAAATCAACCACGACTAGACATCAGATTAGATAAGGAATAACACTGAGATAATAATAGCGCGAGAGATAAACAATGACGCTCACCGGCCTGCAGCGGTATACTGACTTTTGCCGCACCCGGTATATATATATATTTCTTCTTTTTTTTATTACCGATATATGCCCTAATAATTCGGAAATAAAATTTTCGTGGACTACCCTTAAACTACCTAGCTTTAAACTGTGAATTGATGAATGAGAAAATTTATGAAAATTTACTAAAATTGAAAATTGAAATGCACTTGTAATATGTAATTGAAATATGGATGGAAAAATACTAACTTATGAACTAAAACTAACTTAATGACTGCTTGGCTTACAATCTAAGGAGTTGTTTTGATTTGTTTGACACACTTTATCAAGCTTGTATTTATTCAACACTTTTTTTGTGGATAGCCAGAAAAAAGGCATTAGTAAATTGTTTATCTTTTCTTGTTATGAGTAAATACATGTGCTTGCTTACCGAGAGCGTCTGGAATACTGTTCATCTGAGACTTGTTAATGGGTTGTCTCGTTGGCGATTCCACATTCAAAGTTCTGAAAAAAGGTAATTCATAGTTTCACTAAACAGAATTATACGCCTTAGTCTCCATAAGTTAGGCATTTAGCTCATGTTCTTGAATAGTCATGTTTCTTCTTAGATACGATTGTAATGTTTCATTTCACTTAATCCATTATTTATCATTTCCTTGTTAAAAAACCTTAGTTTAATACTGTGTTGTCCTAAATTGTTAGGAATGAGTCATTTAATAGCATAAAATAATTATATTTAACTTCTTATTCAGCTTACACATTTAAAATTGTATTATTCCATATTAATATTAATTAAGTTTATAACTATTATTTGTAAAAGAGTTAGAAGCAATTAAATTTAACTTCATATAATATCATTCAAAATCCAAATGCAATGATTGTGTGAACTATTTACCTGGCCACCATATGTGCAAGTGAAATTGAAGCTTTTTGAATATTACCATTGTTGGATAAACACTCTCAGGCCGTCGACACACGGGAAGACTGTTTTCCAACTGAAATCGGCAACTAGTTGGACAAACTAGTCGCCAGCGTCTCGACCAATGTAGTTAGGTGGGACAGTACACACGGTGCGACTGCGATGCGACCAGTTGAGGACCAGTCGGCGATCAGTCATTAAGCAACCGGACCTGCCGGTTGCTAGGTGATTTCAGTCGCCTGGTTTGAACAACTTTTCGCATATTTGTATTGCGCTTTTCAAGGATCGGGCATACCAACTGCGATAACTCTTCGTAAGTACTTTTTGACATCCTAGACTGAAATTTTGCGTCTGTTTTTTTAATGCAGCGGCAGCTACAAAGAGCCTACATTTAATATTTGTTTTAACATAAGGATTACCGTACCCCAATACCTTCTACGTTCTTGATTGTCTATAAAACACCAGGGCTTCACTACCACTCATTTCAAACACCATACACAGTACACAGTATCGTTATAACAAAATTAGAACTCATTTACTATCTCAACTCAACTGCAGTCGCACCCGTGTGCGGATTTAACCAACGCAACTGCAATCGTAATCATGTCACAAAAAAGTTGGTTCAACTTTAGTTGGGTTTCAGTCTTCCCGTGTGTCGACCGCCTTAGTGATCAGTTTTGGTAAAGCAGGGTGTCTACCAGATTTCTCAAATGGAATTCCCGACTTTTTCCCGACTTTTCATTACCATTCTTATATAAATCCCGACCAAAAACTCGGTCCATTCTCCATGTTACTACACCTTTTTCTGTCTCGCGGTCACGGTACCTTCGTCAACATATGTTGTCACTTACGACCCAGCGAAATCACTGACGATCGAAACGTATCACATGCCAAGAAAATCCCGTATTAAATGTAGGGATGTGTGAAGCAGCAAAACATTTCAACTCAAAGCAACGATTCGATTTGAAAAAATGTTGATGTAACTCGATTCGAAGCAACATGGAATTTTTCTATTCATACTTCTCAGTGGAGTGAAATATCTGTTTTCAATCATACATTAGAAGAACCAGTATTTCTGGAAATATCAGTGAGCTTCTTGCCTATTCCATAATTTTTACTTGCAGCATCATGTTGTTAAGTATACCTATTAGTAGAACTTATTAAGTACTTATTAGTAGTACCTATTTTATTTTATTCATTTTATAAATAAAGATATGTTTGGGTGTAAACAAATAAAAACCTTTGTAAGATTTATATACTGAATCTTTCAATTGGTTTACATTGATAAAATAAGAGGATAGAATCAGAACTACAAGGTATACATAACTTCTTGTATGGCGAAGCAATGTCTCAGTGTATGCCATGTACTTGGATGGCAATAACCTGTATGGTCAAGCAATGTCTCAGTGTATGCCATGTACTTGGATGGCAATAACCTGTATGGCTAAACAATGTCTCAGTGTATGCCATGTACTTGGATGGCAATAACCTGTATGGCTAAGCAATGTCTCAGTGTATGCCATGTACTTGGATGGCAATAACCTGTAAGGCCAAGCAATGTCTCAGTGTATGCCATGTACTTGGATGGTAATAACCTGTAAGGCCAAGCAATGTCTCAGTGTATGCCATGTACTTGGATGGTAATAACTTGTATGGCTAAGCAATGTCTCAGTGTATGCCATGTACTTGGATGGCAATAACCTGTAAGGCCAAGCAATGTCTCAGTGTATGCCATGTACTTGGATGGCAATAACCTGTAAGGCCAAGCAATGTCTCAGTGTATGCCATGTACTTGGATGGTAATAACCTGTAAGGCCAAGCAATGTCTCAGTGTATGCCATGTACTTGGATGGTAATAACTTGTATGGTCAAGCAATGTCTCAGTGTATGCCATGTACTTGGATGGCAATAACCTGTATGGCTAAACAATGTCTCAGTGTATGCCATGTACTTGGATGGCAATAACCTGTATGGCTAAGCAATGTCTCAGTGTATGCCATGTACTTGGATGGCAATAACCTGTATGGCTAAGCAATGTCTCAGTGTATGCCATGTACTTGGATGGCAATAACCTGTATGGCTAAGCAATGTCTCAGTGTATGCCATGTACTTGGATGGTAATAACTTGTATGGCTAAGCAATGTCTCAGTGTATGCCATGTACTTGGATGGTAATAACTTGTATGGCTAAGCAATGTCTCAGTGTATGCCATGTACTTGGATGGTAATAACTTGTATGGCTAAGCAATGTCTCAGTGTATGCCATGTACTTGGATGGCAATAACCTGTATGGCTAAGCAATGTCTCAGTGTATGCCATGTACTTGGATGGTAATAACTTGTATGGCTAAGCAATGTCTCAGTGAATAACTTATATAATTAATGTCAATCATTTGAATAATGGTCAATAAGTTATATGGATACTGATAGTCAAAGTCACATTATCAATGTAACAGTCAACTACGTATATGGATACTGATTCAATACCGTATATAGATACTGATTCCATAACGTATGGATGCTGATTCAAAAACGTATATTATGGACACTGAATGCCCATGATTCAAATCGTTATTTTGATCATCACTGAATCGAATTGGAATTCCGATGCATTTTCGTTTCATCCCCCACCCCTCACATATAATCCCGTCCCAATGATCAGGAATATAAGATCCAGAACATTTTTTTAAAGTTTTGGGACCCGTTCATCCCTAATTTTGAAAAGTTAGATTATTCCCGACTTTCGGCCGAAATTCATGACTTTTTCACGACTTTTCCCGACCTTTCAAAATCCCCGACTTTTTCCCGAATTTCCCGGAATTCCCGACTGGTAGACACCCTGTAAAGGAGAAGATCAGTCCAAAAAAATCTTATCTTACTTATATTATAAATCTTACTAATAGTATAAATGTGAAAGTTTGTGTATTTGTTTGTTTGTTTGTTTGAAGTTCAATCACGCATAAACCACTGGACGGATTGGGCTGAAATTTTGCATGATTATAGCTCACATTCCCGATTAACATATAGGCATATTCTTATCTCAAAAATCCTTTTGGGCTCCACCCCAGCTGGCTCTGTTCTTCTCCATGTTAACCTTATGAGTATTCATATTTAAAGGGAATAAAATAATTTAGTCAGCTGTTTTGACTTAAAAAGTTGGTTCCATGGTATGCAAAAGCATTAAAAGTTATAATATTTACCAACAGGGTGCAGCACTATTACTTTTTTTGCATTTATGAAAACAGCTAATTTGAACTAAGCAACAACAAAAAACTATAACATGCAATGTGAACTGTCAAAGCAGTTACTGTTATGTTTTTAATTTCATGAATCATTTGTGATATTTTGCGAATCTTTAACAATGTATTTTTCTCTATTGTTTAGGTGAAATGGTAGAATATTATGGCTATGGTAGATGGTAAATTAGCTATAGTATACCGTAAATTTAAAGAAGCAAATTTTATCAAATCGTGTCCTCCCCCATTGCAAACACAAAGCTTGAGTATGACTTCAATAAGCGTTTTATACTTATACGCCAATCCCGTACGAAGGACGGGTACTCTGCTAGTATTTTAATATTTTAAAATTATTTAAATTGGAAGAGACATCTACATTTTATATTAGACTTCTATCCATCCAAAAAAACTTTTCATATAAAGAAGAAAATTATTATTTAAAACATCAATAATTGTGAAGGGCATTTTTGGCACATTCCCATAGGTCTACTATCAAACCGGGATTAAGCATTATGAAGAATCTTGTTCATAAGCTTTTGTATAGACTGTCAAACTACTTTTAAATTAATTTGTGATTTCCTTTTAATTAAAACAAGTTTCAAATTCCAAATTTAACTAACGTGTTCAGTAAATTATAATTTTCAAAAACAAAACCATAATTAGGCCTAGTACCAATTAATCAAATTTAACATATCCCAGCACGAAACTGCACCTGAGGGGAGTATTGCACAAGATCCAAAATCGGAAGATCCAAAGTTTATATTGCCGATCAGAAGATCCAAAAGTTATACAAATCGGAAGATCCAAAATCGGAAAATCCAACGTTTATATTGCAGATCGGAAGATCCAAAGATCGGTAGATCTAAAAGTACAGTCATAACCAGAAGTACAATTTTACATTATGAAGTAAACTTATGAAATAGACTGTCCGTTTCACTTTGGATCTTTCTATCGTAGTTGGGTCAGAAGATCCAAAATGCATGTGTCAGATCGGATTATCCAAAAGATGAGTTATTGTGTCTCTCATATTGAAGGCGTTTAAATACACCCCGTCATCAGCCTCGTGCCTTCTTATTTTGTTGTTTTCTTGTGTGATGTTTTTAATTAATTATTACTTTCTCCCCCTGTATGTGTACTTGAACGCCTCAAGCAATATGGAACATTCAATGTAGGCCTAGATGTACAAATGCTTATACAGGGTGGCGCAGATGGATCGGGTGGTTTTAAAATACTTGTCAAACTGTCTATTTTAAAGGTATTGGATTGAAATAAAGTGCAAAACGTGTAGTTACAATGGAAGTTTATTGACAAAAAATTGGTAAGTTAATTTTTAAAAATTACATCCATCAAA